TCCCCCAGCCAGCCATGCTGGCTGGGGAATTCTGGGAGTTGAAGTCCACACATCTCAGAGTGGCCAAGGTTGAGAACCACTGTCCTACGTGTTCCATTAGCACTACCGTTTATTTAAGCCTAAATTTAGAAATATTTTGAGATTATCTCTTGCTTTCCGACTCCCTCATGCATTATTGAAGAAGCCCTAAAAGCCCCCTTAAAAGATTTCATGTTGCAGAACTGGGATTGGAGGCAGGAGGGGAATAATCTTCTCCCCATCCTTTCTGGAAAAAGCCGAATTCTCGTTTTAAATCCTCTTTAAAGACAGCATGAAACCTGATGTCTGCAGGGCTGTTTTAAAACAGGGCCCTTTGGGTTTTAAAATGAGAAATCTCTGACTGGCATCCGAGTCCAAAAAAAGTCCTGCTTTGCTCAGCTACAATCGGCTCCCCGGTTGTATTTTTTAATGAACTTTTAAAACAATAACAATTGTATTTTTCCAGAATCCTGCCCCTACATCTAACCTGTCAATTTCCACATTATATTCCAGGATAACAGTACCCCCCCAGACACATTACATTCAATTTAACTAGAGGAGAAGCAACTTCTCAACATGTCACAAAGGTCTAATCGGTTTTTGTGAGCTCCAACGAATCCAGAATGGATAGAGTTCTGAAAGCGATCAATAGGCTCTTTCAGATTTAATTGCTAGAGAGAGTAATCACTTTTTATCAATGTTCTATGGGGGGGGGGGATTCTTCCTGCAAGCAGAAAACTAGCACGCCAAGGAAACGTCTTATTTCCCTAAATTATTAATTTTTGGCTTCCAGGAACCCTTTCTCAGAGGTATATGCAGGCCAGTTCTGCAACTTGGTTTGGGGATAATTTATTTCTCCATGAACAAGATGTAACAGAAATCTTCCTTTTTTGATTTTCATAAGGAGGCTGACGGAGGACAATCACATGAAAACTTATCTTCTACTTCCCATTCTCAAAAAACGGCATTTTTTTACACCCGCGTCTTGATTCTTGTCCACCCAAAAGAAGGGTGTTTCCATTTGGGCTTGTTGGTTACAATGTTTGGGAGTCTCAAGCCACACCTTTGCTGGGGTTGGTATAAATGTGTTAATCTGTACACAATGAGGGAATCCTTACGACCAGCCCATCCAAATTTAGTCAAAACAATGGTGAGGTGGCCACTGTTGTTTCTGTGGAAGCAGCATGGTGAGCTTGGACCTACAGCCAACTATAGGCAGAGAAAGAACCTTGAAGATCTAAGTAGGCTTAGGACATGGTTTTACTGAACACCCCACCCCCAATAACACAGCAGTCACATCTGCGTTAGAACTTTAGCAGAGTTCAAAGCCCAGAGGTCCATTCTGAGCTCAATGCTCACCGAGATAACCCATCTGGAATTGGTTCAGGATGTACCACTGAACAAGAATACAGGTGATGGAGGTTCAACCATCAGGATGGTCCTTCAAGAGAAACCTTCCTGCTCCCGGAAAACTACAATGAAAGCTATTTATTTTGGGGGTAGGGAGATGTCCTTATCTCCAGTCAGGTGTTGATGGGAGATACCAGCTCTTTCTTTTCCCTAGAGATAGGGTGGTAGTGGTGGTGAGGATGCATCATCCTCAACTACTTGTGGCCAAATGGAGAATTTCTCCTGACTAGATTAAGTCTGTGAACCCAACATTCCCAACTCCTAGTAGAAACAATACATGGAGTGATGCTTCAAGCTTGCTATAGGAGTGGACCACAGCTCCAATAAACCCCAGCCTTAGTAATTATGGGCATGGGAATTGTAACCCAAAGGATCAATAGGGCCCAGGCTGTCTGAACTTGCCCTGAGGCTTGCATGAGGACCCCAATGTAAGCTACTAAGGACCTCACGCTAGTAAACCAGTAGAGATTCACATTGGGTCCCCACTGATTTCCTCAATATTCTTCCAACTCTTGGGACAACTGAGAAACCGCAGCGCTGGAATAGCAAGCTCAGGTTTAGTGCTACGGCTTGTGATAACAATATATGTCGAGAGAGAGAAAAAAAGAGAAAGGCCATAGTTTAATGTCAAAGTGCTCCGAGAAAGGACCAAGGTCGCATCAATCCAGAAGTCAATTCTGCTGCCATTTCATTGATCCAGTTGTTTCTCTTGCCAACAGCTGGCGGCTAATTCATCTGAAGTTTTCTAAAACTCCATGAACCACCTCAAGCTATTCTAAACCACCTTGGTTTCACCTCCTGAGCTTCACTTTCAGTGGGGAAGAGGAACAGAAGCTGTAATATTGCCTGTGGGCATCTGGAAGCCTTCCCTTGCTTTGGTTAAAGGACAGACGGACATCTACTAGGAGCCAAATGGACATTCAGGGCCAACCATTTTAGACAGCTCGTAGCTGCTCAGTTTTGTGCAGGACCCTGCCCACCTCCCCTGGGGAAGAACTGGCTCTCTTTTTGTACCTTCCCCCCATATCTTCATGGATCAACATCCCATACACAATTTGGCCCTTCCACCATATTTTCACCGCACGCCCCTTGGTCAGCCCCTGCCCTGTTGGCCACAGGGGACAGAATACATCTAGTTTGCTGCAGTATGGCCTGAAAGATCTCACAACATAAAAAAAAAATACAACAGGGTCACAACAGAAAGCCTAATCCGAGGAGCAAAAACGTCGTTTTGCGTTGGAACGTCCACATCTGGAGTACTCCATGTCTCAGCTGCAATGCGGGGAATACGTCCGCCCTAAGGCAACGGGTAAGAAGACATTTCCAGCACCGTTCCAAAAAGCTTTCTTCTGCCCACGTTGGCTGAGCTTCCAAGAAAAGCCAGCCTCCAAAAATAGAAGGAAGGAATCCAACCAAGAAGCCATCTGACTAAATGTCTTGATATCTAAATTGATAAATTGATTGGTAAATGCCACGCAACTGGGAAGAACAACTTATCCCAAAGACTAACATGCAGAAGCTGGTTTTGGCAGCCTCTTGCAGAAGAAGTTCCAAACTGGGTTGGTCCTCTCCCATGGAGTCAAATTCCAGGTCGGTCCTACCTGGATTTGGGGCAGACAAACCTGCTTCTGGACCGTTGTGCCCCTTTCAGAAAGATGTGACTTATAGTTCATCTCCCTGTGTAGAGTCACTTTCAAAAAAAATATTACGAGGAGGAGTCATTTTTCCAGTTGAGGGGACAGAGGGAAGGAACAACTGGGGCCTGACAAAACTAAGCGTGATTTCCTCAGGACTTACTCAGAGGTCTTCCACAGAGGAGACAAGCAGATCACATCTACAGATCCTTCGGCTTGGTGAGTTATTTAGAATCTTGAAGGTCCTTTGCTGTCTTCAGAATCAGGTGAACGTCAGAGATGGGGTAGTCCTGGGTTGAAAAGAAAGAATACAGACTTTGAATGAGGGAGAAAGTCTTATAAATTGCAAACAACACACTCTTCAACAGGTTAGAACTCCTTTTGTATGATGTCCCCAACTTCTGGACACCCAGAGATCTGCAGATGACCACCAGGGTCCATATCTCCCTTGACTTTCAGGGTTTTTTTTAAACAAATTAAAATAAGAAGCAAGTCTGCTTTTTCATTCCCCGTAAGAGCCATTCTGTGAATGGAAAAGACTACTCCGCAGGAGCCATTTTGCAGAAGTGCCCATCACGAAATTCCAAATAAAATTTAAAACCTCCCTGCCACCGATTCAAGAAGTGTTCTTTTCACTTGCTGACAACACTACGCAATTGCGTCTAACCCAATCATGTTTGGGGCATAATTTCTTTGAATAACAGCAGACGAGGGAAAGAATCAGTAACACAGCTGAGATTTCCCCTCGCTGAGAATTCTGGGAATTGAAGTCCACACTCCCGGAGGATGCCCAGATTGATGAAGACCCCAGCTAGAGAGGAAAATAGGATTTAGAGGAGTTGAGTGGCCTTACTGGAAATGTTCCAAATTTGAAATGACCCCCTTTCAAATTGGGAACAGACATTTCAAGCTCAAAACAGCCCATTTCAGCCCAGGGGTGTGTAGAAAATGGTTGGAGCAGTTGCGAGGTTGGAACAAGCCCTGCGAGCTTGAAACGGGGGATTATGAATTCATGATATCTTTTTCTTTGCATACACTTGTTAAAGAAAACAGTCAGAGAACAATACAGTAGGAGATTCCAGAAAGCTATTTGCAATAAAAGCCTCAAAGACGGTTAAGTTGGACATCTCATTAGGACATCCCTGGATAACCAGAAAAAAAAAAATAATTGGAATTCACAGATAAAATCCACCTTATTCAACCTAGAAGCAGCCCCTTGGAAACAGGAGAAAAGAGAAACAGGAACAAAGGAGAAGTTGTCTGCTGTGTATATTTATTTATTTTGGTATTGCTTTTCTTGTTTTCAAACTGTTGGCTGCCCAGAGTCACTGGGTTGCGGCGGGCGGCGGCAGGAATTAAATAAATAAATAAATGTTGGCCGCAATGATCTTGCCTGCTGGTAGGAGGAAATATGGCTTGTTCAACAAGTCACGGTTAAAACAAAGGCTGGCTTGATGCGAACGCAGCCGTGGCTGGGGCTGTTGCGAGCCAGGAAGAAAAGCATTTTGTTTTCCCCTCTTCCTTTACCTGCAGAAGACGCATATTTAGAGTAAAATCCCCTTCTAGCAGCTGATCTCGAATAAGCCTGTAGGATAACGAGAGAGAAAGGTGATTTCGCTTGGATCTGCTGGCTTCGTCCACCCCAACGGGGAGGGCTTGAAAGACGGCGGACAACGCGAGAGGCAGAAATGAAAAAGGAGCGTAAACTTTTGCATTCCCTTCTCAGAAAGTCTCAAAAACAGTTAGATCAGTGCTTCTCAACCTCAGCCGCTTTAAGAGGGGTGGACTTCAACTCCCAGAATTCCCCAGCCAGCCATCCACCCCTCTTAAAGCGGCTGAGGTTGAGAAGCACTGGTCTGGAGACACATTGGCATCTGAAAATCCCTTTTTATTCTGCAGACTTTTGGCCAAACCCTTAGCCTCGCACAAGGCGGCCACTGAAGCAAATTTTATCTTCATTCCCTCTCCTGTTCGAGGCTATTCTGAGGGCTGGGGTTGGTAAGTGGTAGACTGCCTCTGCAGGTGGAGGCTCCATTCGGTTCCCGCGGCAAGCGGCCGCGGCCAGTCTTTGCCTCCCACCGCTCGGGCTCCCCGCCGGCCCCCGCCCCGAACCAGTGAGGAAAAGAGCCGCTCACGTCAGCATGGCGCAGCAGACCAGCAGGAGGAAGTCGAAGCGACTGTTGTCGGCGAAGAGGGAGTCCCAGATGCGAATGACGTCGGGCAGCAGGAACTCTTGAGAGAGCAGGAGCGTTAGCCAGCGGAAGGCAAAGAACTGCGGTTTGATGTTCTGCTCTTGCTGGGGAAAGAGAACATAACATTTGGAGGCTTTGGAAAAAGGGGGAAGGAGGAAGAAAGGAACAAGGGCTTCCTCTGAAGAAGAAGAATCATTACCCTGATTTATTCAGTGTATATGCCACCCGACCCTGGGCGGTTTTCTTGCATGTGGGAAAGGGAGAGTGAAGCCCCTTGTAACCGCTGAAGCAAGATTCACGCAGACTTTCCTTCCGAAGTTTTAATGTCATGAATTAGGGGTCTGCCTGAATCTTGCTTCGGGGGTTAAGGGGCTTCACTCTTCTAAATGAGCTCCCGTCTCAAGGCATCTACGGGGGACACGACCAAGAAGAGCTCCATACATGTATCCATGGGAATCGCTCTCTCTGAATGCTGAAATGAATAAGACCAACTTCATCTTTTCATAAGGCCCCCCTTCAGACAGGGTCCATAGCAACATAGAGGACCTCTTCTGGACGAGGAGAAGACCCCCAGTTCAGGTTGGACCTCTTGGTTTGCAAAACGGATGGGGACCTCTTGAACTTCTAGAGAGGTCCTACCAGCTGGAGGTATCACTATTAGACTGAAAAGACACATTCTGCAATTGAAGAAGCCAGAATCTGACACAAACTAAGATATCACAACATCAGCAATTGCATCCATGGAGGCCAGCCAGGTTCTGGGATCTAAATCTGCCAGCCACCCAGGGGTTTTGAGGGAAAACACTTCCCTTTGTAGCCCACAACCCACAACACCTTGCCTTAGCAACCCACCCATCTCCTCTGGGGGAAAATGACCCCACAAGAATCACGTTAGCCACAAAAGTTTGCACATGTTTCTAGTCCGGTCAGGTGTAGCCATCACGTTGACGGGACACGTCAACGCCACCCAAGCCTTAGGCCTGTACTCTTGAGCACAAGCCAACCTGTGGCCTGAAAAACAGGTCAATTTATATCCTGAGACTGAAACTCTTGATCCACGTTGCCCCACAGGACCCCCCTTTGGGACAAAATGGGCTCCAGATTGAGGTAGGCAGTGCAAAACTACAGAAAATGTAGCTATGAGAAGAGGAGGAAAATGGGGGGGGGGGGGGAGAAAGCCAAGATGCACCCTAATTTTCTTAATCCTCACCAAACTGGAGACCCAGGACTAGTCCCAACCCTCCCTGACAGTTCCCCCAAATAAATTTTAGCCAGTCCTGCTTCTCTGCCTTTCTGTTCTCCGATGAATATTCATGAATATTCCGATGAATATCCACGGCTTCGCACTGTTTGGGAAACTAAACTAAAGGTTTCTGGCAAATGGCGAGGCAGTTAATCCCCAGCAAGGATCCGTTGACTAGACGTACGCGTCTTAATTTATTTAACCACTTTATCACCCTAAAGGAAGCTTGCGGCTTTCGATCGGTAACACTTCCTCTTAATCTCGAACAGAAAAAAAAAAGTTTGGCAAGTAATGAAGCAGATGGTGGAGCTCGCCGTTCTCTCTCACGAGAGGACCCGTCCCGCCTAAGATTTGGTTTGCACCCACTAAAACAGAAGCGAAGGGCTCTGTTTGCTTCAGAAGCACAACTTTAATTCGGGGACTAACTGAATCCACACAAGCCCCCAGAAATTGAGACGTGCTGGAGCAAACCTCGTTGAACACAGGAAAATTTAGTGTTGCATTGCAGAATTTTCTTATCTGGTGATGGTGGAATTGTTGATATGACTGTTTCTTAAATAACAGTGTGGGTGATCTGCAGATTCCCCATAGCTTTTTGCATGGGGAAGAATCCCCCAAAGTTGCTACTGTAATTCTGTGTTGCAAAAAAGTGATTTTAAGTAACATTCTAGTGTCTATTTCTGCATCACAAGACTTAGCACTGGTGTATAAAGCACTTTCAAAGGGGGTTCCACAAGGACTTGAATGGGTTCTGCAGGATGAAGGGGAAAAAATATTTGCAAGTGACTACTTCTTAATCTCCTGCAGAGTTTTTTTCCCTTTTAAGCCCTTGCAGACAGTTTTTTCCCCTTAATCACAAAGGTGCCGTAGAAAGGATGGACCTGACACGTTTAGAAGCCCCACTCCTCTTGATCAGAAGTTCTGGGAATTCATTTGTTTTTTAAAACAAACAGATTATTTGGCCTGAAAAAGTTGGAAAACCCCTGCCTAAGAACATTGAGAAACCTGAGAATAGCTTTCTCCATCTCCATGAAACCTGAACTCCACCAGTAGGGTCTAAGTGGTGGACATTCTTAGTTGGGTTGACCCTGATGGACCTTCCCATTAAGGAAACCCCTTAAATTCTCCAAAGGACCACAGCTTCAGGCTGCAAATTTCTCACCAGCTTCATGTAAAGCTCCGTGTCTTTCTCTTTCAAAGTGATGTAGACCTTCTCCATTTTGTAGGTGATGCCGCACTGAGAGTCATCCAGACTTTTGATGAAGTTGTCCCGGATCTCGGACATGAGGTTAGTGAAACAGAAGAAGGTGTCTGCTTCGGCGTGCTCTGTGCGTGAAAAAGGACACCGTCAGCTCCATTTACTGGGTCACGCCAGCCACCAACATGCCAGGAACATGGTGGCCCAACTTACCTTTCCATTCGCTGTTGGGGTCTGTAGCAAACGTGTAATAAAGAGGGCCAACGATTTCGTTCATCCCTTGGACGTAGGCAATTCCGGGGTTCAGCTTTGCATAAATGAAGAGGATTCGTTCTACAACTTCCCAGTGGGCTTCTGAGCCATCAGGCAGAACTTCATATTCACTCACCACCGATGTTTTAAGAGGTGAGCTCACCTGGAAAAAAGAGAGAGAGAAAATGGTGCCTTAACATCTTTTTTGGATACTGGACTGGGGACTTCTGCATAGGACTCACATTTTCCACTCCTCCTTTCTCAACTTAGCAGGCACTGATCGTCACCCAAACAAAATCAAAGATGCCCTCTCTCCCCCCAGTCCCAAATCCTGGTTTTAGTACCTAAAACCTAATCCAAGGACCCCCAATTTTGAATTTGCATCTGGCAACAATCACCAGCATACAGAATACTTTAATGGCCAAGTATAAAATATATACAAGGAATTTGTCTTCAGTGACGAACCTGCTCACACCTTCCTTGCTCCCCTTAAATTCCACCTGATGTGACTTTTTAAGATTCTTTTAATTAGAATTTTTAAATTGATTTGCTTATTTCTTCGTTTGACTGTTGTGAGCCACCCAGATTTGTTGAAAGTTGAGTGGCATACAAGTTAATCAATTGTTATTGGTCACACAGCCAGATGTTTAGACTGGATTTGGCATTTTTATCCACCTCTCGAGCCCTTCCCAAGGACCTGAGATGGGCTGATGTTATTAAAGGTATTGTTGCAGGATGGAAGCTATTCCAAGTAAAGCTCCTTTTTGCAATTGCAATTATTATCATTATTATTATTAAACAGGAAGTTCATGTGCTGTAAGGCAAAAATGCCAACTTGAGATATGGTGGTACAAGGTTTTTTGGGCAACTGAAGAAAAGTCCCCCCCAGTTTACCTCCTGGTAAATGAGTATTGGGGGGCTGGCTCCAAGCAGTCATCTTGTAAGAGAGCCTGCGACATGTTCCCCAAATCCAAAGTGTGCTTGGTAGTCCCCGAAAGTCAGGGGGCTGAATTTTGCCCCACCCTGCAAATCTGTACCCAAAGTTATTCTCTTACATTGGTGACCCCGCTCCGGTTTCGTGCCACGGTCTGTGATTTGAGGGTTGTCTGTTCCACTCGCTTGCGAAGGGTCTCAAATTCGTTCTGGGGGTCGAGGATCAACAGGCAAGGATACTCCGTTGGACGCTGGAAGAAGGCCATATCAGGATACAGTCTCCTATGTGGGCAAAACAAACCAGGTTTTCTCAAAGAGAGCCTGTTGCGACCCCAGAGAAGTTGCTTCGGCTATTTTAAGAGATGGACAGCTCTGAAACCATTTCAAACGTTCCCTCCCCAAATTCGCCCCATGCCTGACAGTTTGGAGCTAACAAGTTATGTGACCCTAGCCATCATAAATCATGGCATACCGCTGATTATGCCATCTGAACCCTCCCAATGGAAGTTTTTTCCTGAAACTGGGGTTGAGCAAGGTTGAAGGGCGAACCAGCATCTTTACCTACCGGACATCCTTGTCGATCTGCAACAGTACTTCGTTGTCCTTGAAGTAAGTGTTCCACTGGCTGTTGGGGTTTGGATTCAGAGGCTTCGAAAAAGAAGGGTTTGGGAGAAGATGCAGTCAAAACCGAGCAGAAATGCAGTCTTCTGGCATGAATGCTTCCAAATTATTCCCAGGGAACTAAAGACCCACGCGTCTAAACACCTGGCTTGGCTTTTTCCTATATAGTTAAAGCTACTCAGACGTTAAATCGCCTGATCCCCACACCCAAAAAAAAAGACGCTGGAAGTCAAAGCAACTTGAGTCTGCAGACAGCAGTATTTCCCTCCCCGTTAATAAGTGACTATTGACCTACTAGATTTACATTCTGCCTCTCCTTCAGGAGATGAGGTGGCATCAACTACAGGTAGTCCTCACTTAATGACTGTTTGTTTAATGACGGTTTAGAGTTACAACAGCCTTGGAAAAAGTGCTTTATGATCTGTACTTGCACTTATGGCTGTCGCAAACTGTAGCACCAGCCCCCGCGGTCATGTGATTGCGATTTGCTACCTTTTTATGATGGTCGTTAAGTGAATCACAGCAGTCGTTAAGCAAATTCCAGCAAAAAACACCCACTTGAAGAACTGGATTCGTTTAACAACCACATGATTCGCTTAACAACCGCAGTGAACAACCACAAGCCCATGAACATTGCCTTCCAGTGCAGTCTCAAAACAGACTTCTTCAAAAGTCCTTTCTGCTTTGTTAAGCAAGGCTTACTCTCAGACAGATGTGCAAACTGGATCTCAAAATGACGTTCTGAAGAAAAGAGGAATTGTCCAAACTTTGTATGGACAAGTGCAATAAAATATGGGAGTCATTTATACCAAATACAGTAGGTGAAAATAGAAAATTAAAAAAAAACATGATAGTGATATAAATGTATTAGAAATATATACTACTAGAATAATATTTGCATTAGGTAAGTATATAAAGAACTTTAATTGTTTACTGTTATAATGACATAGCAACATGGGTTTTTTTTGTATTTCTTTCACTTCTTTGTTAAAGCACTTTTTATGTGTTTTTTCCCCCCTTTTCAATAATATAAATAAATAAATAAATAAATAACTTCAACATGCACTTAAGGTGCTAGAATAAAAATCTACCTACAGGGTTGTTCTGGGGAAAAAAACAGAAGCATTATATATGCCACTTTGAGCTCCTGTTAGATGAAGCAGGACCTAAATCACATAAACGCAGACAGACAGACGTCCTAAAACCTCCAACTGAAATGTCCACAGTTAGAGGAAAACTTCCAATAAATGGTCCACTTACGTGATCCTCCAAGGTAACGTCCTCTCTGAAGACTCCAAGTTCGGCTTTAGCTATTCCTGGTTGAATAATCATTTCCTTCAAGAACTGGGCGTATAATTCTCTTCAGGGAGGGGGCGATGAGGGTGGGGAAGGTGACAGTTGAAAAAGAATCTCGTATTAGGAACAGGGTTTGCACGCCACCCCCGTCAGCATTTCCAAGCTCTCCCGAAGCTGAGTATTACTTAACACAAGATATACAGCTCCCCCCCAATTGTTTCAAGCACACCCAACAGA